CCCACTCCTGGGCATACATCCAGAGAAAACTGTAATTCAAAAAGATACATGCACCCCAATGTTCATTGCAACACTATTTACAATAGCCAAGACATGGAAACAACCTAAATGTCCACTGAAGATGAATGGATAAAGATGATGTGGTACATATATACAATGGAATACTACTCAACCATAAAAAGGAATGAAATAATGCCATTTGCAGCAACATGGATGGCCCTAGATATTATCATACTAAGTGAAGTAAGTCAGAAAGAAAGACAAATACCATATGATATCACTTATATGTGGAGTCTAAAATATGACAGAAATGAACGTATCTACAAAACAGAAACACACTCACAGACATAGAGAACAGACTTGTGGTTGCCAAGGGGGAGTGGGAGAGGGGTACATTGGGAGTTTGGGATTAGCAGATGGAAACTATTATATACAGAATGGATAATCAACAAGGTCCTACTCTATAGCCCAGGGAACTCTATTCAATATCCTGTGATAAATCATAATGGAAAAGAATATGAAAAAGAATGTATATATATGTATAACTGAATCACTTTCCTGTACAGTAGAAATTAACACAATATTGTAAATAAACTATACTTCAGTAAAATAAATTAAAACAACAAACCAAATACTGGTTTTTCATGATAGATGTTGCCACCTAACTCCAGTCTAATGAAAGGAAAGCAAATGGAAGTCTGCTGGTGGGTTTCTAGGTAAAGCTTTTAATTTTCTTTAAGCCACCATTATTTGGGTTTTCTGTTAATTGCAGAGGAATGTATTCCTAGCTAATACATGTTGTAACTCAGTACATTTCATATTACTGTCCTCTGGCTCATCGTAACTCACTCATCACCATCATGCTTAGAATGTTGAAAAGGTTCTGAAGAACCTGTTTTAGAAAAGGATATGTGAAGAAGTGGACCAGATAATTAGTCAACTCAATGGCTAAACTATACTTTTTATATTTTCCACGAGACTCCATCATTTCTCATATCAATTCTTACCAAGTCTCCTATCCAGTTCGAATCATACCTACAAATTCCCAAATTAACCAGACCTTTTCAAACTTCATGTCTTCACCCCTGATATCCTCTTTTGCTTCAAATCCCTTACATCATAAACATCTTTCAAAGACTCATTCAAATTTGACCATTTACTTACAGGCTTTTCCAAACCTTCCCATCCACCCTCTCGCCTACAAAACTGACCACTCACTTGTTCCTTTGTGCTATTTCAGAACCCTGTACAGAATTCTGTCACAGAACCTTGTAAGATTTTACTATAATTATTTTGTTTAGCTGTCTCTCCCCTGCAAAGATTGTACATGCTTTTGTCTACCACTGTTAAGTAGTTATAGAGGCTACACGGTGATCCCCAAAAGATATGGCCAGGTTCTAAAATCCCAAACCTGTGAATGAATATTACCTTTTATGGCAAAAGATGTGATTAAGTTCAGGTTCTGGAGAATAGGAGCTTATCCTGGATTATCTAAATGAGTCCTAACTGTAATTACATGTAGCCTCATAGAAAAGAAGGAGAGAGAGTTTGGGATGCAAAAAGAGGAGGTGATGTGAAGATGGAGTAGAGAGATACAGCTATATGCCAAGGAACGCCAACAGCCAACAGAAGCTAAAATAGTCAAGGAATAGATTATCCTCTAGAGCTTTTTGGAAGGAGTGTAGCCATATCAACACCTTGATTTTGGACTTCTGGCCTCCAAAAGTGTGAGAAAATAGAATTTGGTTGTTTCAAGTCATTCAGTTTGTAGTAATTTGTTAGAGCAGTCACAGGAAATGAGTACAGTGGCATGCAGTAAGTCTTTAATAAAGAAATCAGTAAATGCACCCACATCAGTAATAAAAATGCAAATCAAATAAACTTGAGATTCCATTTTCACCAAGTGAACTTATACCTAAAGCTGGCAAGATTATGGTAAAACATTCCCATAATAACAGTGGCATTACAGAGTGATCTAAATTTTCTCTAGAAGACAACAGAGAAAAATGTAGTAAGTGCCATAAAAATGTTCATCTTCTTTATTAGTAATACCATGCTTGGCCATTACCCTAAGAGAAAAGTTCAAAAAACACACATCGGAACAAAAGAAAGAAACAACAAAGGAAGGGAAAAAAACAAGCAAATAATTACCAGTTCTTACTAATAGCAAAAAAATTCAGATTGCAAATAACTAAAAAAAAAAAATGGCTCAGAGACTTCTAAATTGTAACTGAAGGCTTACTTTTACTTAGCTTTTTAGTTTTAATAACATGAAGATCGTACAATACTTTCTTGCTTAAAAGAACAAAAAATCTTTCAAAGCACTCCTATTAAAAAGATTAAAAATAAAACTTGCATTTGTTATACAGTTTATAAGCACTTTGACTTAGATTAGACCATTATAACTTTGAGCCTTACAGCCACCTACTCAGGTAGGTAACATTATCATTCCCACTTTATTATTCCCAATTTATTGATGAGAAAACTGAGATTTAGAAAAATGAAATTATTTTCTCAAAGTCATACAAAAAATTATTGAGCTCTCACAATATTAGGCACTATGGGATATAACCCTGAAAAACGTAGTTAATAATTCTTGACTTCAGGGAGAGTGTATTTTAGTGGTAGAGCCACAACCCAAATCTAGGACTTTCAACCCCAAGTATAATACTTTTTTTTGTTTGTTAGTTTTGTTTTAACCCTCACTATTTATTTGTTTGAACTTCACATTTAGGCATCTACCATATAACTGTAAAATTAAAAGTAAAAATGATGGTTCCCTCAAGGGACTTGCAATATGTAGAAAGTATTTATAATCTAGTGGGAAAAGAACATAATGTACATGGTATAGTGGGTTGAATGATGGCCTCCCAAGATAGGTCTATATCCTAACCCTGGAACCTCTGAATATGACCTTATTTGGAAAAAGGGTCTTTGTGGTTATAATTAAGTGAAGAATCTCAAGATGAGATCATCCTGGATTATCCAAGTAGACCCTAAATCCAATGACAAGTATCCTCATAAGAGACACACAAAGTAGAGGCATAGAGAAGGCCATGTGGAGAAGGAGGTAGAGACAGAAGTTATGTAGTCACAAAGCAAGGAATACCTGGAGCTATCAGAACTTACAAAAAGCAAGAAAGAATTCTCTGCTGGGAGATTCAATGCAATCCCTACCAAAATACCAATGAAATATTTCATGGAACTAGAACAAATAATTTTGACATTTATATGCAACTATAAAAGACACTGAAACAGCCAAAGCAATCTTGAGAAAGAACAAAGCTAGAGATTTCAAGCTCCCTGGTTTCACATTATATATTTCAATCTATATTGTAATCAAAACAGTATGTTACTGTCACAAAAACAGACACCTAGATCAATGGAACAGAATAGAGAGCCCAGATATAAACCCATACTTATATGGTCCATTAATCTACAACAAAGGTGACAAGGATATACAATGCGGGACAAGATAGTCCCTTCAATAAATGGTGCTGGGAAAACTGGACAGCTACATGCAAAAGAATGAAACTGGACCACTTTCTTATACCATATACAAAACTCATTTTTGAAACCATAAAACTAGAAGAAAACATAGGTAGTATGCTCTTCAACATGAGTCTCAGCAATATTTTTTGGATATGTCTTCTCAGATTAGGGCAATAAAAGCAAAGATAATCACATCAGACTACAAATTGAAAACCTTCTGCACAAGCAAAGGAAACCATCAATAAAACAAAAAGGCACTCTATTGAATGGGAGGAGGTATCTGCAAATGATATATCTGATAAATTGTTAATATTCAAATTATATAAAAAACTCATACACCTCAATATCAAAAAAACAATCTGATCAAAAAATACACAGAGGATCTGAAAAGACATTTCTTCAAAGAAGATTTACAAATGGCCAACAGAAACATGAAAAGATGCTCAACATCACTAAACATCAGGGAAATGCAAATCAACACCAAAATAAGATACCTCACACCTATTAGAATGGTTATTATCAAAAAGACAACAAACAACAAGGGTTGGCAAGGATGTGGAGAAAAGGGAACCCTTGTGCATTGTTGGTGGGAATGTAAATTGGTGCAGCCACCACAGAAAACAGCATGGAGATTCCTCAAAATATTAAAAATAGAACTACCATATGATCCTGCAATTCCACTCTGGGTAATTACCTGAAGAAAACAAAAATGTTAATTTGAAAAGTTATATGCAACCCTATGCTCATTGCAGCATTATTCACAACTGCCAAGATATGGAAGCAACTTAAGTGTCCATTGATATACAAATAGATAAAGAATATGTGGTATATATACACAACTGAATATTATTTAGCCATAAAAAAGAATGAAATCATGCCATTTGCAACAACATGGATGGACATAGAGGGTATTATGCTAAGTGTAACAAGACAGAGAAGGACAATCTCTTTGATCTCACTTATATGTGGAATCTAAAAAATGAAACAAACAAAACAGAAACAGACAATATCCACACAAAGAGGAAACTGGTGGTTGCCTGAGGGGAGGCGGATGGGGGTAGGGTGAAATAAGTGAAGGGGATTAAGAGGTACAAACTTCCAGTTATAAAATAAGTCACAGGGATATGATATACAGCATAAAGAACATAGTCAATTACACTGTAATAATTTTGCATGGTGAAAGATTGTTACTAGACTTATCATGGTGATTTATTTCATAATGTATTTAAAAGTCAATCACTATCTTGTATACCTGAAACTAACATAATACTGTTATGTCAACTCTACTTCAATTAAAAAAAGAAAAAGGGGGGAAAAAAAGGAAAAAAAAAAAAGAATTCTTTCCTAGGGCCTTCAAAAGGAGCACAGCCCTGTCAACACCTTGAATTGAGACTTCTAGCCTCAACAACTGTGAGAGAATAAATGTCTGTTGTTTTAGCCATCAAGTTTGTGGTAATTTGTTACAGCAGCCACAGGAAACTAATACATATGGCATAAAAGATTATTACCTTTGTGATTTTAACTGCTCTTCTCATCTGCTGCTGTTCCCAAATATCTTGATATTTTTTATCTTCTTCACTATCTTCACTTGTTTCTTCATTTCTGGTTGCTTGAAAAAAAAGTTCATGTATAAATATTCCATATTTTTCCATTCTAATAGCAGCAGCAATTAGCAATTGGGGAGCTTATAAATGGCTTAGCAGCTCTTTATATGTGTTAACCTTTTCTTCACAATTCATAATTCACTCTCTCTTTATAAATAAAGAAACTAAGATAACAGGATGTTACATAACACAGTCCTCTATCTAAGGACTGTGTTGAACCTAGGACCTGAATCTAGCAATCTGACTTCAGAATCTGCATTTATCACCAAACTGTCTCACTCAAAACATGATGGTGTCACATATGAAAAAGCTTGGAATGCAACATTTGGTTTTATCAGAGATTCTCAATTCTACCTGAGAATCTAAACATGCAAAAATAATTTCTGGGTTAATAGGAACCAAAAGTCTCATTCTGAAATAGTATTATTTGAAATGACAAAAACTTGGTAAAACATTATTGTTTATAAATGAGAAATGTGAAAATAGTTCTTTGATACGTAAGGATTATTGGTTAAGGAAAACTTTATACTAGAGCAGGGAAGATTTTAACACATGACACCAAAATCCTACCGATGTTTCCATGTTAAAAAAAAATCTTATAAAGGTGACAATAAAAGTTTTCAATATCAAAAATAGGAAACTACAAATTTTTTAACCTGTCAAGAAGGATCAAGTGGAGATCAGATAACAGTAAACATTATTATTGCATGTACCCTTTAATAACATTTTGATACAGACATGTATTTTAGAAGACATGATGTCAGTAAATTGGTATTTAAAAAATAACTTAAACAACCTTTAGAATAGGAGATACTACATTATGTTTTTATGGATATTTTTATCATAAATTATATTCTAATGAAAAATGCCTTAATGTTCATTTATTATAAATAAATTAAATATGTACCTGTTGTTTCAGCCATCTTTTGTCTAAGTGTTTGAGGCTTTGGGGTAAATGGTATTATATTTTCATGATCATCAGGCTCACTCTCAGGATATTCAGTGTTTTTCTTCATACCAGAGATGGTGAAGGCATGTTTTACATCCAAAGAAATATAGTCCTCTTGGGCCCTGGCCAATTCACGTTTTCGGTAGGCTGCCCGAATAAAAGCTGCATCAGGGATATTTACTGAAAGAAACAAAGAGGAGGACATTGAAAACAAAATAGTAACAGAGAGAAATATTCCTCATATTTAAAGGAAAAGAGCACCGTTTTTCCAATTTTTTCACTATTTTGATATAATGACTCAAAATCTGTTTCAATAGAAGATAATTAAATATATAAATATAAATTAAAGAAATGAAACAAATCTAGAAGTATCAGAAAATATTGAAACGACTCCAATTTATCTTTTTTCTACCTTCTTCATCAGGTGTTTTTGCTGACTTTTTGTTGAGGGCTACTTCTCATTTCCAGAAGCTCTGAAATTATCAGGGTAGGGATGTGGAGAGGGCTGAGCATGGAGTTACTCTTGGAGCATGGAGGGTAGAATGATAAGTGGTAGAGCAGTCTGCCTTATAAAGTAACAGGGACATTCTACTATGACCTGCCCCTCGCCTTTGGGCATCCAGGCACATAGGGAGTGAGAAACAGACTAAAACCCAGCACACATTCAAATCAGCCTCCAAGGTCCTGTGGCGATTCTCACATGAATAAACATAAGTTAAAAAGTATAAAAGAAATAATCAGGTAATTTACCGGGTTTAAAATACTTAAGGGACAACATCTTTTAATAGAGGATTGTTTTATTTTTTCTTCATTTTATTCAGTACAAACTTCATAATATAGGCTCTTCTAACTCAAAACAAGTTTCTTCATGCATGATCTAAGCTGAAATTTACCTTTACACTCTGGAAACAAATGGTTTCTTAAGCAAAATACTAAGGTAAACAAAATAGCAAAGAGAAATCATTGTTTCAAGCACTTCAAGATATTAATTAGGGATACCAAGCCACTGAGTAAAATTTTCTAACCTTTCCCACAAATTAGTCCAAATCCTTTGAGAAATAAATAGAAAAGACGCTGTATGCCAGGAAATACACAAATACTCTGATTTTTGAAAGATATAGAGAGATTTCAGAAATTATAGATCAATATACTTGACACCAGAACTAAGGAAAACAAGTAGTGCTTGAATTAATTATGAAGCAGTAAGTGATGAACACTAGAAAGCAACATAAGCTCATTAAAAACAAGGAATATTAAATAAGTGATTTACTTTTTATAGACTAGAATTTCTTGTAGAATAGTACCAGGAAAATGATGCAGGTAAGGTGTCTCTTCATCCTCCCAAAACACTCAGGATAATGGCAGCATTTCTTGACCCTGGCTATATGCATTAGAATCACCTGGGAAGGTTGATAATCTGATAACTAGTCTCCCATCCAAAACACGGGATCTAAATGCAGTTGATTTGAGGTGGAGTTGAGCAGCAGTATGTTTTTATAGCCCCCTAGGGGAT